CAAACTTATTGTAAAGAACCAGATAGGGAAACTGACACATTTGGTACACATTGTTAATGAACGGATTCCAGCCAGAACTCCAGCTAATGTGAATTGCTGCAAGTGTAGAAAATAGAGAAATAAGATAGGGACTTGATCCCTTGTGTTTCCCTGACAACACTACGAAAGTCAACTAAGCACAGCTGAAAAGTGACTGCTACAGAAACAGTGCACACAATGCAGCAGTTTTGCAGTCACTTGTCCTTTGACCAACCAATTGCTTACATCATTCATATGATGCCATCAAAGGCATTTTAGCAAGAGTATTACAACAAAACATCACTTGAATACTTGAGAAGTCACTTCAAGCATTCAATCCTTCAGAGAAAGTGAACTAAATTCGCAAGAGCCTCAAGAACAAAGTTAAATGCTACTACAGACCAGTTCCCAAATCTAATATTTTGTTGTCCTTAGTTGAGTTGTAACTTTGTAATTATTCTTCATTGTAATTCCTAAATTGCTTAGCTAGAAACATTACTTAGGAACCCCTTTGTAAAACCATAAACCCTTTGTGTTTGTGTCGTGACTAGAGTTAGTCATGAGTTGAAGTCTTTGTAATAGGTGTATTGCAAAGTGGCTTGTAATAAGTGTATTACAAGTTAGTCAGGGATTAAGAGTTTAATTTTTAGATTGTATAGGTTGTAATCTAAAAGTTTCTCATAGTGAAGTTGAAATCCTGCCAGTGTAGGTCGTGGTTTTTTATCCCCTTGAGCATGGATTTTTCCACGTAATTCTCCCTGTCTTATTTACTTACTGTTTTATTAGTATTCACAGTGAAAACTCATAGTGGACCTGGTAGTCTATAGTTTGGGGGACTCATATAAACTATCAATTGGTATCAGAGCGGGTTTCTCCTATCAGTCTAACACATAGGAAGGATCCTTATGACTGCTCCACTAAATTTTGAAGAAGGTCAATCTACGTACAGACCACCCAGGTTCAATGGGCAATACTATGGGTGGTGGAAGGCAAGAATGCATGATTTTATCATGGCTGAAGATTCTGAGTTGTGGGATGTCAAATGTGATGGTCCTTATATCCCAACAAAGGCAGTTGGAGACCTTCCATTGACAATGCCAAAGACCAGAAAAGAATACACTAACCCAAACAGGAAAGCTGCAGAGAAATATTTTCGTGCCAATAAAATTTAGGTGTGTGGAATAGGACCTGATGAATATAATAGAATCTCTGCTTGTGAAACTGCCAAGGAGATATGGGAAGCTTTGCAAATAACACATGAGGGAACCACTCAAGTAAAACAATCTAATATTGATATGCTCACTACTGAGTATGAACTCTTTAGGATGAAAGACGATGAATCTATTCAAGATATGCACACAAGATTCACCTCTATCATAAATGAGCTACACTCACTTGGTGAAATCATTCCTAGGAACAAGCTAGTGGGGAAAATTCTTAGTATCCTGCCCAGTTCTTAGGAAAGCAAGGTGAATGCTATTACTGAAGCAAAGGACCTGCAGGAGCTGACCATAAACGAGTTGGTTGGAAATTTGAATACCTACGAGATGAAGAGGAAGATAGACAGTGAAAGAAGAGAACCAAAGAAAGAAAAAAACCTGGTACTCAAAGCTGAAAGCAATGACTCGAGCGAGGAGGACAGTGACATGGCTTACATAACCAAAAGGTTTAAGAAGATGGTCAGAAGAAATGTAGGAATACTAAAAAGGGGCAACTCCAGCAAACCAAAGAACTTTGATCTATGCTACAAGTGTGGAAATCCAGGGCACTTCATCAAAGATTGTCCTTTCCTGAAGCAAGAACACTCCAAGTACAACCTTGAGAAAGTAGCCAAGAGGAACCCGGTTCCTGACAAGCACTTCAAAAGGAAGAGGTCCGCTGACAATGTGGTGAAACAGGCTCTTGCAGCATGGGGAGATTCCTCTAGTGAGTCTGAAGATGAAACAGATGCAAGTGACAACTCCATGATGGCAGTTGAAAGTGAGAAAAATGAATATGATTCAATATTTGCTTTGATGTCCCAATTAGATGACGATGAAGACAATGAAAACAATGAGGTAAATTT